GGTCATCTCCGTGCTCTACCCTGAGCATCACCCATGGTCTAAGTCCTTTCAGGAAGACCTTGAGCATTCCACATTCACTCATTGCTCATTTATATGTGAGCCGCTCCTTCTTGAGCTCTTCCATCTCGACTCTCAAAGCCTTACATCGACTTCACCAACATTACTCCCTTGAATCGTGTCCTCTTCGTTGAGAACACGTTGCTTCTCGTCCTTGATCTGATCCTCCATGACTCCAACTTGTTAAGACGGGATTCCACAACACCCTAGGTCTCCTTAGCTTCTCCCACTGAATCATTAAGGCTACTGACCCTCCTTCCCAATGTTGTTGACATCTCCCTCAATGTCTCCAACTCGTTGAGAACTCGTTGTATCTCGTCATTGAACTTATCCTCCATACTCCACCTTATTAAGCCATGACTCTCTCTAACACCCTGGGACTCTTTGGTCCTCTCTATGGATTCCTTAAGTTTATCAACCCTTTTCTCCAACAACATTGAGACTTTTCCTAGGGCCAACACTTCGACCCTAATGGAATTACCCACTTGGATAGTCTTTTCACTTAACTCCTCAAAGAACTTTTGAATGATCTTCTTGATAGAGTTGTTGGACTCCTCCAACTTGATGAGGCTCTTCGCGTAGAAAGCTAAACATTTCATCAAATAAGCACATCTCTCGTTTATTGTCAGTATCTCTTTCTTGTTCCCCATCAAAACTCTCCTCGTCTTCATGAGTGAATCTCGAGCCCATCGGACTATTCTCTCGTTTCCTACCATGGCTTTCTTTGCCTTTGCGTACAGAAACTCCTTTTCTCTTGTGCTCCATCTCTCACTTTTTGTCACAAACTAGCTCAATCTCTCTTGACTAGCTCAAATGCAAAGCCTTGCCACACTTTACAAAATAGTAAGTTTGGATAAACAGTAAGTAAATTCAACTTACTTGTTTACCGCTTTTACAGATCACACTCAAACGCTCGTTGTCTCATCACAACGACTCTTTCTAATACCACCTGTAACGCCCACAAAGACTCTAACTCAAAACATGCTGCTATCATTCCCTTGGACATCCGAAACATGAGACCTTAGATGCTCAATGACGATACTTGGTTGGTTCTACGCCATAGTAAGTCTTACACCACTCCTTAAGAGTACACTATCTCGACAAAGGATGACATGAAGTCTTCGAGACTTCAAAAGGATACGGAAGCTTGAATCCAATGGGGCCGCTAAGGCCACCAAAGTAGAACACTCGTGCGGAAGTGTAAACACCACGGGTTTACATTTAGCCACCTAGAGAAGCAACGAACACAAAGAGAACTCAGAACAACTGAAAGGAGACAATAGAACTTAGAGCAAATGCCTCAGACCTTTTATTTACTATTCTCTCAAAGTGAGAGTTGAAGAATGATTTTGAATGGTACAAATGAGGAGAGGCTCTCTCTATTTATAGTTGAGCTCCTTCACAATCAATGGCTATGATCGAAATACATCAACGACCCAGATCGAATACAACCTCCTAAATCCCCCAAATCAAGGAATTTTATCTACAAGATCTTCTCTTAACTAAGGAAACTCAATCACATCCTACCTAATTACATTAATTAGTAGGATTCTTTCTTTCGATAAGCGTTCACAAGGGATATGGTAAAAATCTTCCATAATCTCTATTGATTTGTTATCTCTTGCCATAATTACCGAGCTTCCATGATCATTTTCACTTTCCATTTTTGCACGGCCAATGCGAATGGTCTCTTTAGCATTCTTCAAGTGATGGGCCAAGTCCGATGGTCTTGGCAAATCCGATTCCCCAAATCCAACATCTTTGCCAGACTCATGTGTTAGTGCCTCAAACCTTATTGTGCGGCCCATGACAGAAGCAAATAACAATAATTATGAAATTGAAAGCTTAAAGGTAACAATACTAAGCAACGCATAGATGTGAATCTTTTTAAAAAAGTTATACTAAAAATTTAAAAATAAAATTTTAAAAATTATACAATCTTAAAAATGTGACAACCTCGATATTCTTGTCCATCTCTGAATACAAGCAAATGATGAACCACGTTCAAGGAAAAGAGTGCTACTGCTGCCTTCGAGAGTTTACTACAGATTATATTCCATCTTAGCCCTTTGTCTATGTTGTTTTCCCTCTCTAAAGCTTCCATTTTTTCAGGAATATACCCTTGGGCAAGGGTCTGCTATAAATCTTACATTTAGATTTTGCTGGTCCCTAAAATACCTACCAGCCAGAATAATTAACGATTTCTATCCCAACCGTCAAAAGCCTAAACACGCCCACTCCCTTGGCTTCATTGCTGTCAACAGACCAGGTCGGAACCATGAACCAAGGGGGCTTAGCCACCGCAAACGGTGGCTCGGGAAGCGGCTCAGTCGGCGTTCAGATTCATCAATCCCAAAGGCTCCCGGGTTTCCTGCAAAGCGTTAACCTCAAGTACGTAAAGCTAGGCTACCACTATTTGATTTCCAATCTTTTGACCCTCTGTTTTATCCCTCTTATCGCGGTGATTTCAATCGAAGTTTCTCAAATGAATCTCGATGATATACGCCAACTGTGGCTTCACCTTCAATACAACCTAGTCAGTATAATCACGTGCTTTGCTATTTTAGTATTCGGGTTAACAGTATACATCATGACCCGCCCCAGACCCGTTTACCTCGTCGACTATTTCTGTTACCGTGCTCCTGACCATCTTAAAGCTCCCTTTGGTCGTTTCATGGAGCACTGTAAGTTGACAGGTGATTTTGATGAATCTTCTCTGGAGTTCCAGCGCAAGATTTTGAAGCGCTCCGGGCTTGGAGAAGAGACTTATGTTCCTAAAGCAATGCATAATATTCCTCCGACGCCGTCCATGGCGGCGGCGCGGGAAGAAGCCGAGGAGGTTATGTTTGGGGCACTAGATACTCTTTTCCATAACGCAAATGTCAAGCCCAAAGATATTGGTATTCTTCTTGTGAATTGTAGTTTGTTTAATCCAACGCCTTCATTGTCTTCCATGATCGTAAACAAGTATAAGCTAAGAGGGAACATTAGGAGTTTTAATTTAGGTGGGATGGGGTGTAGTGCTGGGGTGATCGCCATAGATCTTGCTAAGGATTTGCTGCAGATGCATAGGAATACGTATGCTGTTGTTGTGAGCACTGAAAATATTACTCAGAATTGGTATTTTGGGAATAAGAAGACCATGTTAATACCCGATTGTTTGTTTCGAGTTGGGGGTTCTGCTGTTTTACTTTCGAATAAGCTTAAGGATAGGAGACGGGCTAAGTATAAGCTTATTCATGTGGTTCGAACTCATTGTGGAGCTGATGATAAGGCATTTAGGTGTGTTTATCAAGAGCAGGACGATGCAGGGAAGACCGGCGTCTCACTGTCTAAAGATTTGATGGCCATAGCTGGAGGTGCACTAAAGACGAATATTACTACTTTGGGTCCTCTCGTGCTACCAATCAGTGAGCAGCTTTTGTTTTTCACAACCTTGTTGGTGAAGAAACTGCTCAATGCCAATGTTAAACCTTATATCCCAGATTTCAAGTTGGCATTTGATCATTTCTGTATACATGCTGGTGGGAGGGCTGTGATTGATGAGCTGGAAAAGAATTTGCAGCTCCTACCAGTACACGTGGAGGCTTCAAGAATGACACTTCATCGTTTTGGAAATACTTCTTCAAGCTTCATCTGGTATGAATTGGCCTACATAGAGGCAAAGGGGCGGATGAGGAAGTGCAACCGTGTCTGGCAAATTGCATTTGGGAGCGGCTTCAAATGCAATAGTGCAGTTTGGGAAGCACTTCGGAATGTTAAGCCATCTAGTAATGGTCCTTGGGAAGATTGCATTGATAGTTATCCTGTGAAAATAACCAGCTAGCTGAGCAACAGTTCGAGTTAGATTCTACATTCAAATAGTGAATTTGTTAGGCATTACCGCTATGTCAGTGTTTACCTAGTTCTCGATATGTACTGTAGTCTGTCGTTCTTCTTAGCAGCGTGTTTTCAAATGTGTTCTACCTTTTCGTCTCATTTTCTTGCGCTGGCTTGGATGTCTGGAGTACTCTCATGTGAGACTTGGTCATCTTGTACTATAGTTCTACATGTATGTACTAGTAATTGATCTGCTTGAGACTTGATTTTTTCCCTTTTCTGAAAGTTGGCATCATTGTGGTATCATTGCTTTCTATGCTATTAGGAACGCTATGAAATATCTTTGTTCTGCGACCAAAAGTCGAAACAGCACGGCTATAGCTTGAATAGATATCAGTGGTCCTTCCTTGCATTCCTACTATTTCATTTTGGGTCGGTACATTTATTCCGAAGTACTGGTTTAGAAAGATACCCAGCATTTATAGTTTGTGATTGGACGAGGGAGAGAAAGGTTGTAGGGGAAAGGTTTTAGTGCTTGCTTCGTTTTTGTTCAACCCAAAGCACTTTTCTATTGGAATGAATATGAGTGAATTGATCACTAAAATATGAAGGCAAATATATTCGAGGATGAAATTTGAGGCTTGTAGAAATACAATCCACAATCAAAAGATGCCTGCTCTGCCACCCAAAGAGTACCAGTTCTGGTTTGGATTTCAATAATTGTAACGACGTTAACAGCTCTGTGAAAATCTTGAAGATTTGCAGAGATAGATTATGGGTACTTCTGCTTGATCGAGCCCATTGATTAGTAAAAATGGAACCCCAGTCATACTGATGGAACAAAACATGCCTAACAGGCAAGATTTTCGGGCCTTCTGGCCTGCTTCTTAATCAGGGATACCCTAGGCTTGTTCGAATTGATCTATCCTTTGTGATGCAGCTTATTACAAACGCGCGGTAATTGAGCGTGTGAAATATCAATAAGCGATGAAACTTTACCTTATCGGGAGACAACACTTTTTCGGCAACTGAAGTGAGATACAAAATTAAATCACATTTTAGATTAAATTATGAAAGAAAAAAGGGTCAGTCACTCCACTGTTCTATGTTTGGAGCCATTTTATACTTTTCTCCTAACCCCCGAGCCGCTCATCTTTTCCTTCCAATTCTTATGCCCGACGCCCATTGCCAACGTCAACACTACAACCGCCGCCGCCTTCGGTAACTACCGATTTCTGAATCACGTCTCACATGGGCGAGCAAACCCCGGCACAGCCTCAACCACATCCTCAATCTCAGGCCCTGAATGATTCCTCCTTTACACCGTTAGTACTGCCATTGTAGCCCCTAGGTCAACGGAGCTCACCAATGTTCCTCTCCCAAGCTCGTCTCATCCTTCGAAAAATCCCTTCCCACCCTAGAAAAATCCGTAAACTCTCCCCTGACCCTAACTTCGACCCTAATGCCTCACAACAAGGAACTAGCTCCTTCAAATCCGTGACGGAACCGCCGAAAACCGTGGGTAAAGCTTCCAAAACAAAATTCGCTCAACGTCGAGCCTTAGCGGTGGTGGTTCCACGAATAATTGCGCGGTCCCTCTCTTGCGAAGGCGAGGTCGAAACTGCCATCCGCTACCTCCGCAACGCCGATCCCCTTCTCGCCTCCTTAATTGACCTTCATCCTCCTCCAACCTTCGACACTTTTCATACCCCTTTCCTTGCTCTCACTCGAAGCATTTTATACCAACATCTAGCTTTCAAAGCGGGAACCTCCATCTACACTCGCTTCATCACTCTCTGTGGAGGTGAAAACGGCGTTGTTCCTGAAACTGTCATTTCTTTAGCCCCTCAACAACTGCGACAAATTGGTGTCTCGGGACGAAAAGCGAGTTACCTTCATGATCTTGCGAGAAAATACGAGACGGGGATATTATCAGACTCGGCGATTGTAAATATGGATGACAAATCACTTTTTACCATGCTTACAATGGTAAATGGGATCGGTTCTTGGTCGGTTCATATGTTTATGATATTTTCGCTTCATAGACCGGATGTTTTGCCAATTAATGATCTCGGGATTCGGAAAGGAGTTCAAATGCTCTACAATTTGGAGGAGTTACCAAGGCCTTCGCAGATGGATCAGTTGTGTGAGAAGTGGAGGCCATACAGGTCAGTTGCTTCGTGGTATCTGTGGAGGTTTGTGGAGGCCAAAGGAACTCCTTCAAGTGCTGCGGCGGTTGCTGCTGGTGCTAGTCTTCCACCACTGCAGCAACAAGAGGAACAGCAACAACATCAGCAGCAACCCCAGCTTCTGGACCCCATTAATAGCATTCTTAACCTTGGGTATGATCTCTTTCTTAAAGAAAACTTAGTTTGCTTTGTTGCATGTTTTGATGTTATCAGTGTTAGTTGCATTTTGTGAAAAAGAAATGTCTCCTCACCTATTAAGAGCTGGGTTTATTCTAATTTTGAGGCATTTAACATTTAAAATGAAATTAGGCCTTGCTCATTTTTGGCTTGTGTGCTTGAAAATTTATTTGAAGAGTTATATATATTTTTATGTAAGATTGATAGCAACCGAGGGTTATCTTTTATATGTATTTCAAGTGCTAGTTGTAGACTTTATTTGCTGTCTTTAGCTCTTAAGGAAGTTTATTGAAGTATTAGAATGTGAAGTTCCTGTTACTGATTAAATATTTGCATGCTTGAATATTATATGTACCATGCAATTCAATATCCTTTTCTGCGGAAAAATAAATTGAGAAAAGGGAGCTGACCTTCTAACTTAAATCAACTGGCAGGGTTTGCATGAACATTGAAAAATGTCCTGAAATGTTATATTGATTTCTATAACACTGAAAAGAAAGGAAGACAACAAACAGGTAGCTTTTTCCATCCAGAAGAAAAAGGATATAATTTTTATTGAAAATGACTAAATGAAAGATGTTAATGGTGTACCTCTACTGATATTCAGTAGAATTTATGCTACTAGAGTCAATTTGATTTTTTATTTCCATTTCTATATTCTTCCAATATACATGCTACAGAAATCCAGTTTACCTCTTTCAATTTTGTTTTTATAGAAGTTAGGCCTCATTAAAACCCCCTTCATATCCTTCATGTTATATCAGTAACATGAAGGACATCGGAAGGAGGACAAGAGCACCTCTGAATTTTATTACCCTGAAACATAACGTACAACCAATTCGAGTCATAGACAGCTTGACATAAAACTTAAAAACATAGAACGACCTGCAGCAGTAAGACCAGGACCTAAAAAACTGGACAAACACAAGAACACAGAAACCTTAACAGAATACTACTTGATCAACCAATATCAGCCTTTGCTAACTCATCCGCTTCCCAATTGGCGGCTCTTAATATATGTCTTGAAATGATGCCCTGTCCTTCCACCTTAGACGCTAAACCTCTAACCAAGTTCTGAAATAGTGGGGTACAAAGGTCAGGATGTTTAATCCACTTCAGAGATGTGGTGGAGTCCACTTCCAAAACAATCTTCCGACTTGGAGAGAAACCTACTTCTTCGAACCTCTTTCAATTTTTAAGGTTGGCTCTCGAGTATTTTCATATATTATCTATTTAGAAGTACAAATCTTGATAGCTAATTCAGAGATAGTAATAGGGAGAGCTTGGGTAGATCTTTGTTCATGTTAGCCTGAAAACATCTTGATGATAATTTGTTCATGTTTTGCATTTGAAAAGAAGGCAATGAATTGATGTTTGGTCATGACGGCAGTTAGAATTAAACAGAAGTATACGTAGATATTTTTTTGCCCAAAAGTGTGATATTACAAGATGTGTAACCTTTGGGAAGTCTTGTTTTCGAGGAGTTAAGTTTAAGATTGTTGTGGATACTCGTGATACCATGTTCAAACTAATCATTTATTATTATTATTATATGTCTTTGCATCCATGGTCATTTCGATGGAGACGTACAAATTATGAGTATTATTGAGCATGGATCCCATATATCTAGCTGTTATAAGGGTCAAGGTTTGTACTTGTATTGGAGATAAATGGAAGTAGGACCTTTCAATCATCGTATGCTTTTCAGCCTTGTTTGGTTTATGTGCCTGAACTTTTTTGCTACATTGCTTGGAATTCTTGTAGAACCTTTCAGGTTTGGATTCCCAATTTCTACTAAATGAAGTTCCTTGAAAAGTTTAAACGATCTTACTCCTGGTTGATTGTCTGCAGCATCTGTCCTTTTAATTAAATTCTTAGTTTGATATGAAGTTACATCCCTTTCACTAGCTTAAGGTAAAAAGCTTGAATAAGAAGTAGTCTAAGGAAATATCCTGTATTTTTATTTTGTTTTCTAACAGCTTACTAGTTTCCAAATGCCATAAACTTTCAATAATTTTTTTAAAAAATCATGTTTAAAGAAGTTCAATTAAATTTCCATGTGCTATCCTAGGTAAATAATGGATTGGACGGTGAGAGTGGGACCCAAATGTGGCAGCTCGATAGAGGGGGATAAACATGATGTTGTCGGTCGTTTTCTTCTTTTTGGGCACAAAGGAAAGCCATTAATCTCATCATAAATCTCTCTTTTAGAGAATGACCCTGATCTTTTCCCAGCCTCTAACTAAGCAAGCCAGGCTTTCTCTTGTTAGGACTTGGGATATATATATATTTGGTGTTTTTCCTGAAAAATCATCGATGATCGGTATATTTACCGATCTAATACCGGTCAAATTATATTTCCCGATCTAACACCCGTAGCAGTAAAGCGCGCCCTCTGAACCGCGTTATATGCTAATTTGGCGTTACGTGGAGTATAGCGCGCCTCATGTACCGCGCTATATGCTGACTGGGTTACACGTGGGTATAGCGCGCGCCCTACACCGCGCTATACGCCACGTAGGAGTATAGCGCAGATCAGGGGTCGCGTTATACGCCGTACCAAAATTATATTTAACGCGATCCCTGGTACGCGCTATATAATAATTACGTATATCATAGTGCATGTACCGCGCCTTATATGTTTATAAATACTCTCCTCCGGTTACGTTTCTCACATCTCTTCTCATCTCTCCTCTCAACTTATAAATTAATACAACAATTCCGTCAACAAATAATAATTCTGGTAATCTTCTCATATTTGATTTAGAAGTTCGTGCGATTTTTCGTTATAAGGTAATTTTGTTATGATTTTTTAATTATACTTATTGTTTGTTTATTATCATTATTTGAAAAAATATTACATTAATTATTTTTAATTAATTTTTATGTTTGTAAAATTGAAAAGCGAGAGCATACGTCGAAATAGTTTTGCGGTGCAGATAATAATATAAATTTATATTATTTAAATTATTTACGTTGATGTGTAAAAAATGTATTGTGTTATATTTTCGTTCATATATAATTTATTTAATCATGTTTGTTTCAGTTATTTTTTTTACAGATATAATATTGTCACACTTTTAAACTCAAAGAATGTTGCGACTTTCAGCTATCGTTTATTATGATGGTGAAATTCGAGAAGATGAAACCGGCGTTGTTTTCGTATCAAATGAGTGTGTTAAAATATCATTCAAGAGAAACATAACTCTTGAAGAGCTGATAACGAAGATTTCGAGGAAGATTCATGTTGGAAGTAGTAGAAGAATGTCGTCATTGCAGTATATATTTTCAACATCATTGTTGCCATTAACTTATACAGCGTTCGAACTTTCGAACAATGATGATGTTTAAATGATGGTTGAAGTTTAAAGTAATTATTCAGACACTGCTATTGAGATGTATGCACATTTTGTTCAAATGCGTGCTGTTCGGGGTCAATCATTAAGCTCTCATTATGGGCTGACTGAACAAGTTGATCAGGCTGACTAAACAAGTTGATCAAGTTGACAGCCTGACTACAGTAATGTGTAATAATTTTAATGTCATAATGGGGAGACATTCATCCGCAGCTCCTTACGATATGTATCGAGGTGGATCTACGAACAACTTTCGAAAATTGGCATCAACAACCCTCCTATCAGCTGCAGTATACATGCTCGTGCATACATCTTAAACTCATCCTCAGAGGTATCTGCGCTCAACTCCCGAAAATTGACATCTAACCAATTTAACGGTATCCTACCTCCGATAAAATTTTTCGGGACACGTCCTAGACTATCCCGATACAAAGTAGTCCAAGAACCGAAAGCTATCCCCGATATCACATCTCTATCCACCGGAAGTCCCAGGTATATAGAAACATCTTCAAGCGTGATCGTGCACTCTCCGCACGGAAGATGGAATGTATGGGTCTCCGGCCTTCACCGCTCTACTAAGGCAGAAATCAGGTCTGACTTTATCTTACAGTGACCATGATATCTACATATGTAATCGAATACAGCCTCTACTAAATACGGCAAGACACGGCTGGGTATCACTAACTTAATATTCCTAATAAAAGAATCTAATACACGGTCCTTCTCCTAAAAATAAATAATTACAAAAATTAATTCTTAATCTAATAATCATGCGTTAAATAAATTAATTAATCATTACTAATAATTTAAATTAAATTGAAACGTTAAAATGTTACCGTATCAGTAAAGTGTAGAGATATATGATTTTCATCCGAGCGAAGTAGATTGTCTTCCATTATATATCTGCAAAAGAATTATATTACTAAAATATTAAATAAAGTAAAATACTTAAATAAATTAAATACATAATATTAAAAATATTATAAAATATACCTTAAAAAGAGAGTATTTGAGAGAAATTGAGAGAATTTAATGTGATCAAAGTGATTGAGGATGGGGTATTTATAGGGAGGATTGGGATGTGAACGGGCGGGTATTTAGGGGTATAGTGCGCCCCTTGCACCGCACTATACCCCACGTGTCAGATAACCAGGTATAGCTCGGATCAGGGGGTGCGTTATACCTACGTGGCGTCAAATCACCGTATATCGCGGGGCAGGGCGCGCGCTATACTCCACGTGATGCCAAATCAGCGTATAACGCGGTGCAGGAGTGCACTTTACTGCTACGGGTGTTAGATCGAGAAATATAATCTGACCGGTGTTAGATCGGTAAATATACCGATCACCGGTGATTATTTGGGAAAAACACCTATATATTTGGCTTATTAGGAGCACAAAAGCAGCACACAAGTAATCCTTAACCTTAAACTCATACTCAATCCCAAACCTCAAATCTACCTTGTTTTTCTTCTCCCCCTTTTTTGGTTATTCCTTACTATTTGGCGATGTTTAGACACAGCTTACATGGTGTGGTAAAGGCCTAACTCTGTAGAGTTTGCTCATCTTTTTCTTACAAGTCTGGGAGTTTGGTCCCATTTCACTCTAATGTCTTTGTTTGTTGCTTAGAGGGTTAATTTCTCATTCATATGCTTTTATTTCCGTAAGAAATCTCTTTGCTATCTCTTCTCTCAGCTCGTTGAAATCTAGTTTGGCCATGT